ACAGGTCACAAGCTGGGACTTGCAACTGGCGACTGAAGTGGGAGGCAGTCTTTGGGAACTGAGCCCTTAACCTGTGGCAACCTGTGCTAACTCCAGGTAGTTAGCGTCAGGATTGTGTTAAATTGGCCGGACATAGTGGCTCACCTGTAACCCCACCACTTCGGAAGGCCAACGAAGGAGAATCATTTCAGTTTAGGAGTTTAAGACCAGCAAGTCCCAGCTACTTAGGAGGCTGAGGTTGGGGGGATTGCTTGAGCCTGGGAGATGGAGGCTATAGTGAGCTATGATTGTGCCACTGCACCCCAGCCTGGGCAACAGAGCAAGACCCTGTCTCAATAAAAAATATTTTTAAATTAAAATTTTAAAAAGAATTGAATTAAATTGTAGGAGAACCAGTTGGTGTCCAGAGAATTGCTCAGTGTAGAAAATTCACCTATTTAGTGTCAGAAGGGTGTAGAGAAAACAGTTTTTCCTATTTTTAATGCCCATGTTTATATGACATCCATATAATTCTTTCTCACACAATTGTTTACATAACTGATTCTCTTACTAGACTGTAATTTTATTCATATTTGCCTCCTTGATTCCTTGCTCAGTACCTGGCAAACATTAAGTGCTCCATAAATATTTGCTATATGTCTGACTAAATAAATAAGTACCTCATGTAGCCTCAGATAAGAAATGAGGAACTAAAAGAACACACAATTTTTTAAGAAATAGTTCATGAACATATATAAATGCATACTTGCTCTGGAATGAACACTGTATTATCTCTACAGGAGAAAATTAAAGAATTAGACAAGATAATCTGTGACCTTAGCGCTGAGATAAAATATACGTAACACAAACTTAATAGTAATGCAAAGCAAAACTTTAACAACTGGAAGAAAATGTCTGCGACAAACTGTATAACCGATGAAAAGGGGCTGAATAAAGCAAAACCAAGGATGTCAGGACAGAGAGCTTCTTGAAATCATACATAGAATTTGAAACATAAGTTGAAAGAGGGAAGGAGTATGGCAAGTAGGTTAGTTGTCAATAAATACTAGATATACATTTAATACACACAAGTGGATTTATAGCAGCTCATACAAAAAGGAAGGATTTGTTCTGGTCAAAGCTGCAAATAATTTTTTTTTTTTTTTTGAGACAGAGTCTTGCTCTGTCGCCAGGTGCCAGGCTGGAGTGCAGTGGCGCAATCTCGGCTCACTGCAATCTCCGCCTCCTGGATTCAAGCAATTCTCCTGCCTCAGCCTCCCGAGTAGCTGGGACTACAGGTGCACGCCACCACACCCAGCTAATTTTTGTATTTTTTTAGTAGAGACGGGGTTTCACCATGTTGGCCAGGATGGTCTCAATCTCTTGACCTCATGATCCGCCCGCCTCAGCCTCCCAAAGTGGCAAGTAATTTTTTTTAAAGGGAAATACAACTAGCTAAAGACATAAAAAACATTTCCTATTAGTGTCGGGGAGAAACACATTCATTCATACTATAAATATATACTGAGTAACTACTACGTGCCAGGCATTGTTCTAAGCACTAGAAAACAAAAAAGAGAAAAATCCCTGCAGGGAAAGAAAGAAAATAAAATAAATAAGTTACATCGCATACTTGAAAGTGAGAGGTGCTACACAGAAAAGTGAAGAAAGAAAGAGGATAGGGAATGCAATGGCAGGAGCTGGGATGGATGTTTCAAAAAGGTAGTCCAGGAAAGCCTCAATGGGGTAGCATTTGAGCTTTTTTTTTTTTTTTTAAATGTTGACCCAAAAAAATTAATGTTTTTTAAACTTTTAAGTTCAGGGGTACATGGCATTTGAGCTTAAGACCTGACAGAAAGAGTCTCTAAGGGAAGGGCATTGCCAGCAGTGGGAATAAATGTAAATGAAGTAATAGCAGACTTAGTGTGTTTGAGGAAGAGCACACCACACAGGCCAGTGCGACAGGCTAACAATAACATATTTGACCCAAGAGACAGCCCAATATTTAAAAAACACAATATCCAGTGTTAGGAAACCTGAGAAAATGGATACTCCTCTCTACAGCTGGTGGGAATGTAAACTGATACAGTCTTTTTGGAAGGCAATTTGGCAAAATCTGTCACAATTTCAGACACGCAACCTCTAGTTCTAGTCTAGATCCTACCATACACATACAGGCACACAGACATATGAAAACACATTTAATGCACACATTATCAATAAGTAACTGGAAATGCCCTATCAACAGATGGTTAAATAAGTTATGGCAGCAGTTGTATAAGTGTGCACTGGGGTTTTAAGCAGTCCAAGGAACTCTCGGGATCCTAAAAGTCTTTCAAAGGGTCAGCAAAGTCCTCCCTTTTCCAAGGGCATACCTATGTGAGTCTAAATTTTCTTCATTTATTTCAACCCATCACAACAGATTACATGAGGAAACAGATCTGCGAATCCTGCCAGATTTTCAAAACTTTGTATTGCAATAAAAGGAAATTTCAATGTGCTATTTCAATTTTTAGTTGCAAATAAATGTGTATATAAACACTAAAACAAAGTTTCCCCCCCAAAATAAAATATTTTTACAAAACTATAAAGTAGTGCCACTCTTCTCTATCTCACTAAATTTTTAGAGGTTTGGGAGACATAATTATTCTTCATTAACATGTAATGATTTATGGTTTATTATTTTTAAATAAATTTTAAAATTTTTTATTTTACCTTTAAATTTTTAATTTCTCACATAATAAATATCAGTATATATAAACTACAAAAATCAACAATTATTTGGGATCCTTGGTAACTTCTAAGCGTACAAATGGATTCCCAAGACCTAAAGTTTGAGAATTGCTAAATTATGGTACATTTCTACTACAAAAAACTATGTAGTATTAAAAGAGAATAATCTATCATATATTTTAAAGAAAGCACAATTTGTATATAATTCTTTAATGTAAAACTAAAATTTTTAAACTAAATACATATAAACACAAAGAAACAACACAAATGTGAGTATAGATGTTTATATTCCACATAAAATGTTCTTCCTGTATCTTACCTAAGTAATTTCTTTTTTTCTTTTTTTTTTTTAATTGAGACGGAGTTTCGCTCTTGTTACCCAGGCTGGAGTGCAATGGTGCGATTTCGGCTCACTGCAACCTCCGCCTCCTGGGTTCAGGCAATTCTCCTGCCTCAGCCTCCCAAGTAGCTGGGACTACAGGCAGGGGCGCCACCATGCCCAGCTAATTTTTTGTATTTTTAGTAGAGACGGGTTTCACCATGTTGACCAGGATGGTCTCGATCTGTTGACATCGTGATCCACCCGCCTCCGCCTCCCAAAGTGCTGGGATTACAGGAGTGAGCCACCGCGCCGGGCCACCTAAGTAATTTCTAATCTTCTTTCAGACCTTAACACAATCACCTCTTTCTCAGGGAAACCTTGCCTTACTTCCCTAACTAGGTCAAGTGAACCTATTATATGGCCTCATGATATTATGTACCTTTCTTTCATGGCACCTAACGTTGTTACAATTTTGCATTTATTTGTATAATCATTTTGATTAGTATATGTCACCTATATTAGCTTATAAATTTCATGACAGCAGGGGGTTCATTATATTATTCTCTCAAATTTCCTGTATGTTTGAAAATCTTCATAACAAAAAATGTTGTTTAAAAAAAAAGAGATTATTCAACTTATAACTTCTTTCAATTCTCAACCAACTTTTAGACTTCACCCCTACCCCTACTAAATCTGCTTTCCAAGATCACAACGAACTGACAACTGCCAAATTCAGCTTTCTGCATCTCCCAAGCTCTCAGCAGCATGTGATACCACTGCCCAAGACCCACTTGAAACTCTTTTTAACTTCGCTTCAAAAAGGTACTTTCTTTCAGTTCTGCCCCAACCCTATTTGCCATGAATTTCTTTTCCCTATCTACGGCTCATACTGGTGTCCTTCCTCTACTTGTCCTCCTTGGATAATCTCATCTACCCCACTAACATTATCTGTCTGTTAGACTATCTACCTACCTCTAATGTTAATTCTCAATATCTAGTCAGTGCCACAAACTTCCTAAACTAAAAATAAACATCATAAAACTATCTATCCATCTGTCTGTTTGCTTCCTCAGATGACAGCACCACCATTCAGTCCCTCAAAATAGAAATTTTGGAATTATCCTTAACTTCCCTCTTTTCTTCTTCATTTCCCACATTGTACTAGTTATCAAATTCCACAAAATCTGTATCAGAGATACCCTAAGATTGCCCATCCTTTCTATAACCATAGTGTAAGTTCAGACTCTCATTTATTACCTGAAATACCTCAATAGTCTTCTGATGCTTTCTCTGCCAATAGTTTATCCTCACTCCCTTCAAGGGTCTATACACAATACAACCCTCAAAGTCCTCTTCCTAATATGCAAAGCTGATTATATTACCCTCCACCTAAAATCTAGGGATGCCTCAATGTACCCAGCAGCACCTATACCTCTAGCCACATATTTAGCCTCATGCACATTCCCCACATATACAAGATACACTGAACTTTTCACTTTTTTATGAACATGTCATGCCATTTCATAACTGTGCCTTTAAACATGCTGTTCCCTTTGCCTTGCAGGGAACATACTTCCTCATATTTTCCACATGGCAAACTGATATCAAAGTTCAATGTTCAGCTTCTTTAGTAGGTATTTCCCTTAACACTCAGTCACTCAACAAAAAATGTGTTGAGTATCTATCAATAAGACATGAAGCTTCACCTCAAGGAACTTGTACTCTAACTTATGTTAGGACTCATTCACACTATTATTATTACGTTCATATTATACCACAGTCATCCTTCGACTTCTCCCTCCTCCCAGCTGGGTCATGAGATCTTTGAAGGCATGGCTCCTATCTTACTACTCTTTATACATCTTGAAAAACAAACCATTTTATTCTAGCTTATGATGAGAGCTGAAGAACAATGAGAAGTTAAATGTTTAGCATTAGTATCCAAAACAAATATATATTCACTTACCTCATAGGTCCATAGTTCAGTATTATAAATGCCAATACTATCATCACACAGACAGCTCTTCGCTTTGGACTAGGGACTTTAAGCCTCTGGTTCTAAAGGAAATGACCAAATTAAATATAATTAAACTACACATCAATTTCAGAAAAAGCAACACCTAAGATTAGAATTACCAGTTACGTAAATACCTTGTTTTATTTAAAAAAAAAAATCAAAGGTGAGGAAACAATACTTTTCAAAAGACTAGAGCAGAGACTTCCAAGTTCCCTTTTTAGCAGAGAGAGAAAAGGAGAACCAGCAGAGAAAAAACAGAGCAGCTACTCCACTGCAGTTGCCTCTTCACCCAAGAGGAAAGAATTCAATATTTTTATATTTTTATGGATCCCCAAAGAATTTTGAGACATTTCTACAGTTCGCCTCACTAACTTTTAAATCATTGTTTTCGTAATATATAGGAGTATTCCCATGTACTCAGGGGCAAGATAAAAAGAATCGTGTAAGAAGCCCCACTTAATAGTGTAAGATAGCTATATGGTTCAGCACTGCAGTGAGAAATTCTGAAAGCAGCAAACTTCCCAAATAGAACTAAGGAGATTAACCCTCCTGGAGCCAACATAGTAACAGAATGCAAAAATCATACTAGTAGTCAGGTGGACTAAGAAAAAATAAAAACATACTTTTATTTTATATTGTTTTTTTAAAAGGGAAAATACAGCAGGGCTATTAAGCCTCAATGTGATTCATTTAGTCAGAAAAGAGGGTGCTAAGGCAATGAGTAAGAAGAAACTCAGGAAGAGGAGACAACTTTTCTATGTAGAGCGGGGGTTACAATTCAAAGGGTCCTCTTCAAAGGCTTCATCCTTACTGCAAATGTTTTAGGACTTACTGTACCGTCCTTTTCCTAGCACTATTGTTTTACACAGTTTAATTTAAAATGTAAATGTTTCTCCATTTATTCATCCAGGGGATACTTTAGCCCATCTCAACCCAGCCCTATTACTAGCACTCACCTCCAGCACAACTTCATCCAGCTGTCGCTTCAGTGTTCCATTTTCTTTCTTCAGTTGCTCGTTTTCTGAAAGGGCAGCCTTTAATCTCGCCTCTAACCCTAGCATATATTCTTTTTTCTTCTTGCGGGACTGACAAGCAGATTCTCGATTTTTTATCATACGTTGCTGTCTCCTGAGCACAGCAATCTAGAAAAAGTTACAATGAATCAGAATATATCGGTTTTAGAATCAGATCAAAATAGATCAGAATATACTAATTTTTCCAATTACTGTTAACCAACTAGTTTTCAAAGCGTAGGTTACTAGTTGTTTCAAAACATGTTTGAAAAAACACTGCTCAAACTAAACAAGTTAAAATCAAATGATTAAATAAGGCTTTCTAAAACCCAAATGTTAAATAATTTCTTCTGATATTTTCTAAGGCTCATAATCTTCTAATTTACTCCTCAGAAACTCCCTCAAACAGTATCTTTAAGTATATATGTATATATATACATCTTCCATCTACATCTCTGGTCCTGAAATGGCTATGCCCCAGAACCATATATTCAATTAATTCTAAGGCCACTTCTACTTACAGAGTCATCACCACTTCAAATGTATTACATGCAAACTGAACTCACTATCTCCCTCTAACTAGATTTTTTAAAAAATCTATCATCTTCTATAATAGTAACTATTATTTTTCTTTACTCACTATATTCAGTCCTTCTCAATCTCTCATTCACTCATTGAATATGGTAAAAGTATATACTAATGACCAAGTTTCCTCCAGTGAAAATGTGTCTCAGTTGTTATTCTCTCTTCCACTCTCCTAACACAGGCACTCATTAACTCATCCCTATGTAGGAGGAGTGGCCATGGGAAATGGATCTCTCAAATGAAGAAGGAAGTTTATTCGGCCCCGGAGCCTGAGCGATAATTTGTCTAAAGTTCAGCTCGTCTAACAAAGGAAGGTTCTGACATTATATAGGCTCATAGTTTAGATATTACACGTGGAAGATGCCTGGGTCTCCTTCCTCACCTATACTACTGCAAGACTCTTATTTCAATTGTTTTCCATCTCATTCTGTCTACCATTTCTGAGATAACTTCTCCCAAGAAAATATTTTATCTTACTACTCAATTGCAAAAACAAGCTAGTCATGTGTCCTTGCTACCCATCTTTTCTTTTAAGGTCTTCCATATTGTGACTTCCCACTGCCTAACCAGACCTTCTGCCCTTAATCCACAGCTATTCAAGCCACACTCCTCCAATCTTACCATTTAAAGTTACTCCATAATCTCCACACATGTCTAACCTGTTTCTTTATTCATATTGTTTAATCCCATTTGGAATGCTATCTCCTCCACTAACCTAATTCCAAGGCCCATTCAAACTAAAAATATTCTAACTTATCCTGATTTCTTTTTATTTTCTCTGAACATCTTACATACCCTTAAAATTTGGAGGACAGACTGGAACACTCTAATGGTCTCAATTGTTTCAAGAATGTTAACTCTCTCTTTCCCCACCTAGATTTTATATCTTGAAAGCCAAACCACATCTGATCCTACTTTTTTGTTTAATACCAACAATATCTGCTACAATAAAAACTTACTGAGTGAAATTATTTTTGTTACGTCTTCTAAATTAAGTTATGAAGCCTATTGTTATAGACTAGTCTAATTTATTTGGGGAAGTGAAAGAGGTGGCAAAATTATAAAAAGCACCAACTTAAACTGATTAGTATGAGCACACAGATGGCTGAATTACTAATTTCAATATATTTTGCAATAGATTTTAAAAAATAAACACTCTAGAGTGTTCAATAACTCTTACTGAGACCAGTAAATACAGTTAAAGAATGTAACTGATTTCTTTTAAAATGACAACATAATTCCCACCATGATACTATATTTCCTAGAAAGAAGTATGCCAAAGCCAACCAAGTAATCTCCCAACACCAAATACTTTCAACAACCTTAAAATCAGAACCCACGAGGAAAAGAACATGTTACATGAAATGTCAAAAGGGGTTTTTTTCTTTAAACTACAAAAATGCTGATTTTTATGAAACCATCATCTGTAAAAATTTCCCTGCAGCATAACTATCTCCCTCTTAAGTAAAGCTAAACACACACACACACACACACACACACACACACACACACACACACAGCAATGGCAAAGCCATGATGGATTGATTATTCACCGAATGCAAACTATTCTCTGGACAATGCCGGTTTGTTCAGTCTACTTTTATTTTTAGTGATCTTCAATGTTACTTAGAATGCCATTGTCCATAATTAATACTAGAGTGCTGAAGCACACAGAACACTGAACAGGGACATAAAAGTGAAAGTTCCCAGATGGAAGAGTTTATACTAAAAGTTAGACAAAAGGCAACCTTACTTTAAAGGCTAATTAATGTGTGGAATTTAGAGGGGGTTACAGATGGCATACCATTTAATAAATTTCAAACAAGGATTAGGCATTTCTATAAACAATAAAAGCACCTGCATATTACACAGCATTAAAGTTTCAAAGACTGTCAATTCATGTGCCCCATACTAAAATAATGAAAACCATCTGTGGCCAAATATTCATTTCTTCCCACAGAAAAAGATACATTATCATAGTTCTGAAAATAAATATTCAATACTACCAATAAATACACAGGGTAAAGACAGTAAAAATAAATGAAACCCACAGCAATCACCAAATGCAGGGTTTCAATGTTGTATCTCAGCAAGCCATCTTCAGCTATCTGAATAGAAAATATTTAAATTATTCTATATTTCCTAGGCAAAAAAAATATATATGATTTTTAGGATAAATACATACACACATTGTGGTGTTTGGTATTGAGGGGGAGGTGATTATTTTCCTATATAAGAAAAAAAGGTTGTTCGTGCATGACTAAAAAATTAAAATTAAAAGAAAAAAGAAAAAAAGGATTACCCTGTATGTAATTGTTTGGTAAACTGTTTTTGCACATACAATGTATCATAATGACCTCTGACATACAATAATGGCAGCACAGTTTTTCAATTATCTTGATGTTTCATAATATATTCAATAATCTCCTCTTGTTGAAATTACTGTAGTTTTCAAGGCTTTAAAATAAGCCTCATCATTTAATCCACTGTTAGAGTAGAAGGGCCAAGGTTAGAACTTAGGTCAGCTGACTTCAAGCCCAGTGGTACTTACACAGCAGCTTCAAACTGCTTTTAAATAACAGAGAGGCTTGCATCACAGCATGGAACTCTAACCTCAGAGAACTATGTGGTTACTTTAATTATGTGCCTGTCTGAAAACAGAGACTTGTGGAACTGCCTGTATCTGGAAGGCTAATCTCCTCTGTTAGCAATCTGAAAACATAAAATCAATACTCTGGCCCATTACCCAATTGACACATCTCCCTTTTGGGCATATCAGATGATTTTAACACAGACTGAAATAAGTGAACAGCTGGCCAGTTCCTGCTTCTGATCATCCTGCCTCCAGACAACTCTCCCACCAGGCATCTTGCCTTGGAAAAAGTAGAAAGAAAAAAGGAACAACTCCACAGCTGCAAAGCAGTTTCCCTTTAGTGCCACTGCTATAAAATGTAGTGTTTCATTTAGTAAACACTTATTTGACTGTAAGAAAGACTTTTGTAAAAGGAAAACTTCCACAAATGGATAAGTTCCTTTTGAAGGTTGAATCAATTTAAGAGTCAAAGTTTCAAGTACATTCAAATTTTTAATTCAATTTAATTTAATTTTTTCAGGCAGAATCTCACTCTGTCACCCAGGCTGGAGTGCAGTCAGTGGCACAGTTATGGCTTACTGCAGCCTCAACCTCACAGGTTCAATAGATCCTCCAGCCTCAGCCTCTCCAGTAGCTGGGACTACAGATGCATGCTACCACACCTGGCTAGTTTTAATTTTTTTTTTTTTGTAGACACAGGATCTCTCTATGCTGCTGAGGCTGGTCTCAAACTCCTAGGCTCAAGCAATCCTCCTGCTTCAGCCTTTCAACGTGCTGGCTTTACAGCCCAGCCTGTTTATAATTTTTAAAACCATATTGACTGATAAATACCGTAAGTTATTATAGTCTCCTTTTTATTAACAAAACGAAACACTTGTTTCTGTTATGTGGCTAAGAGATGAGCTCAATGACTACAAATTAAATTAAATATAATATTAAGATAGGAGCAAGGAGTGGTGGAAATCCCAACACTTTGGTTGGTAGGCTGAGGCAGAAGGATTGCTTGAGGTCAGGAGTTTGAGACCAGCCTGGGAAACATAGGAAGACCTCATCTCTACTAAAAATAACAAATTAGCCGGGCATGTTGGTCCGCACTTGTAGTCCTAGCTACCCTAGAGGCAGAGGCAGGAGGATCACTTGAGCCCAGGAGGTTGAGGCTGCAGTGAGCCATGATAACACCACTGTACTACAGTCTGGGTGACAGAGTAAGAGCCTGTCACTTAAAAAAATTTTAATAGGATTTTTATGCTAAGAAATACATTCGAATATCTCATGTAAACTCAAGTCAGATCAAGTATTGATAACCTATGGGTGAATCACACAGTAATCACTGACTTGCTGTATATCTTTCTAACAGTTCTAATTCTCATTTGGCTGAATCTTGCCTTCTAAACTGAAAGTGGAAACTATTACTGATTAACCTATTCACTGTATCTGACTAAAGACAAAAATACAATCTTTCAATTAAATAAGGATTACATAACATACATTACTGCATGTCAGTAAACATATTTATAGATACATCCTAAAAAAACACATATAGCTAAAATCACTGGCAAATTTAATTTGTGGCAATCCTACTTTAAATATTCAAATAAATTTTAAAACTTAATTTGATTTATGTTAAGAATCTTACATACACTTCTTTATTGTTTAAAGCAGAAAGAAAAGGAAATTTAGACTTACACTATCTGTACTCTTCTCAATCTCATGACAGTCAAAATTTTATTTTACTCTTTCTATTAAGTTTTGTGTGTATGTATACATACAGCCAGTTCCCATTTGCCAAAAATTAAAGAAGCTTCACACTGGCAACCTGAACCATTTATTTGGCAGGGTCAAGGAGATAATCTTCATCCTGCAAACAATTTCTTTCTTTTTTTTTTTTTAAATGAAGAATGCCTTATGATATGTAGTATAATTTCCAGAATGAGAACAGATAATAGACAAA